TTGGAGAGGGACATCATGCTTGGGCGGGTGGAGGGACAGCGCAGGAGGGGAAGACCCTCTGTGAGATGGATTGATTCGGTGACTGGGGTAATCGGGATGGGTGTGTCAGAGGCAGTGCGGTTGGCGCAGGATAGAGCAGGGTTTAGGGCTGTTTGCATAGGGTCGCTATGAGTCGCAAATGACTCGACGATACATAACAACAACACAACAACATTTCTAAGGACAACTATATGTGATTTTAAAAAAAAATAACATTGAATTTTCACAATAATGTCCTTATCTATTGTAGTAGATTTTGATTTAAAGTCTTTTCTCAGGTTACTCCTGCTTTTTTTGTTAGCTGAATGTCTAGAATACTTTCTGAGATGCCTTTCCTGTGGACATCAAAAAGATGGGGGCTTTTTAATCCTTTCTGTACACTGCCTTTTACATGGAATTTTTTAGAATTTTTTTTATTGCTTTGCATATAATTTATATTCATCATATTTTGTACTTTATTTTTAAACATTCATACATATTGTGTTTCATGTACCTTGAGTTTTATACAATCATTCATGTGCACTATATTTTATACAATTAATTACTGTTGCTCTATGTCTGTGCCCCTTCCTTTAGGTCCCAGTTGAACATTTGCTAATCCTTCACTCTCCTGCCCACCTGCCAAACAAACCTCTGCTATCCCAATAAATTTTCCCCTTCCTCTTTTTCTGCCTCTCCTCCTCTTCCCCTTTTGAACATTTGCACAGCTCTTGCTCAGTTGTCCTTTTAATTATCACAATTGTGCCCTTTTGTGTTTTTCTTAGGTAACTGAGATCTTTGAGCATAAAGCTCTCTAGTTTCCCAAGTTAAATAGTATTTAATGAAGTCATTGTCCCTTAGTGCTGTATATAATCCCATTCTGTGAATGCACCACAATTTCTCAGTCCATTTGTTTATGGGCATTGAGCTGTTTTCCATTTTCTTGATATTGTGAACAACACAACTATGAACAAAGAGTAGAAAGAACTGTATAGAAAGAGCAAGAGCCACGTGGGAATGACCATATATGAGGTTTTCCAGCTTCATAAAGAACTATCACTATCAAAAGCATCAACACAAAACCAATTCCTGGGAGGTAGGACGTGTCCCTACGCTCTAGCACCTCTTGACTCATCGCAGCAGCAATCTTAACCACTTTACTGGGTCCAGAATACAATGGAATAGCTCACAAGTCACAAAGGTTAGTAGCAAAATACAGTCAAGACAGTTTCTGAAATGTGCTCGCAGGCACCTCAGACTTGAGCCTCATGGCTTTAGGCCAGTGTTACAAATTTCTCAGTCCTGCCATTATGGGCTCTTCATTTAGTCCCCTTCCCTTCCACCCACGTTCCCCAAACAAACTTGTGCAAAAGGCTCTTACTCTGTCTCTGTGGTGGGTAGCAGTCCCAGGGTCAGCTCTAATTCATGTTGAGTCTCTGATCCTCTGCTTCAATCATAGCTGCTTCTTCCATAAGTCTGATTGGCTCAAGAATTTCTGGGTCTTAAGGACATGCTACATTCTTTTGCTGTTTATTTGCTAATGGAGAAGATCTTCCAGTTCAGTTCCTGAATCCGCTGTTTAATGATGAGATGAGCCAATCCCCTTATAGATAGGCTAACACATGCTATTTGCATATTCATGCCCATCCACATAGAAAAGTCACATTCAGTTCCTGCTGCTGTTATGTGTCAGCAAATCACCTGCAACTCATAGCAACCCTATGCACACAGCACTGAAGCTTGTCCTATCCTAAGCCAGTCTCCCTTGGCCCCCCTTACTGTATCAGGCCATCTCATCTGGGGTCTCCTGTGCTCTCCCTCCACCCTTCTGAGCATGATGTTCTCTAAGGACCTCCTGGTCACGTAGCCATGTGCCCAAAGTATGTGACACGGAGTTAAAAATCCTAGCCTCCAAGGAGAAACTTGGTTTCACCTTCGTGAAGACAGACCTGTTTGTTGTCTTGGCCATCCATGGTATGTTCAAGACTTCTGCAGCTGAGAAAGC